CAAAAATAGCAAACTGAATAAAATAAGTTGTGTTCGGAAGCATCGAAAATGATTGAAAACCATGCAAATCCGAAAGATGCAGCAGACTTTTGAAAGATCCATTTTGATCCTCCATGCTCAAGTGAATGCAACAATACTTTACTGCAAGCTACTTATTGTATTGCCAAAATAGAGAAATCATTTTTCTTTAATTCAGCGCATTTGTTGATGATTCAAAAAAGGAGCGAATATCCTGCCGAACTTTTTCGTACTGCAAACTTCATCTTCATTTATCCATTTAAATTTTCCTTTGGATTTGAATATGTAAGGAGTAAAAATGCTCGAAAAATGTCTGCAGGAAATTTGCGATGCCCTAATTTTCAGGTTATTTTATGCACTCGTCATCACCTTGAGTGAAAAATATAAATATGTATCTAAATCTTGAAAAATAATGCTGGTTTCGAACATGAGAATAAAATATTATACAGACTAATAAAAGTTTCGAGAGTATATTTCGCATCGATCCGAATTTCCGCCAAATGTCTTTCCCCTCAATTTAAAAGTGTTTCAAAATGCTGGAGAAGTTGAGCACGGTTCAATTAAATCTTTCCTCGAAGTGATTCGACGAATTCGTCTTGAGTGTGTATTACTTAAAAATTGTAAAAAAAAATGTTTGTGTTGTTATTAAAGAAATGGAGGGATTCCAGAAGAATCGGATGAGAACTCGAACAATCGACATCAACTCGCTGCTTCTGGAGGCTTCGATCAGCAGGGCTTCATTTATGGCCCTTATTGGCAAGGAGTGTCACAATCTCCAGCAGGACAAGCAAATATGCTGAAGCTGCTGCGGGAAAACGACTACGAATACAGCAGGCGAGACGATCAACTCAATTTATTTGCATGCATTCTTTTGATGACAAACCATAAATTTATTTTTATGTTTTTATTACAGGGCTGATGATGATGGACAGAAACCTGATGCAGGCGATGCTTCGATATCCGGACAGTGAGGAAGTCTTTCTTTTTTTTAAAGATCCGGAGGACGTTGCTTCAAACAATAAAGGAACACGCGGAATTTTTGCGTTTTTGCGAGAACTTGAAAATTTGAATCATTTCTCGATCAATAGGGAAAAAATACAAGATACGATTTTTTCCGCTTGATTATCATGCATCAGATCTATATACGCACAAAGACAAGGTTCTCTTCTTGTACTTCGGTGATTTCGTTTTTCTTGGCTTTTTTTTCTTCTGAAATCCGAGTGTGTTTTTCTCGAGGAAATATTCGGATGTTTTGAAAATATAGACGTGCATTCCTCGATGAAGAAATTGTTTGTTTCACTTTTATTCATGAAAAATTTCTAGATACATTTGCCTCAACAACAGCCTCACGCTGAAATAGCCTCCCTGGGACAATAGTGCATTTCTTTATTTTATAGCGTCAATGCGGATATAATTCTATGGGGAAAAAATGTGCGAAAATAAAGCTCCAAAAATTTGCGAACCATCACCCGTAAAGTGCAATGCAATAAGCTGTATACGTACAAATAGTCCACATGAAAAAATGAAAGCAGAACAAACTGAGATTCGTGGAACATCATCCCAGCATTTTATTTATTTTCCTTGGTCCTTACGAATAATAAACACTTACAAACAGGAGCTGGGTGCGGAGACATTCCGCCGCACAATCAAAGACAGACGAAAAATGGGGAAAAAATGTGCGAAAATATAGCTCCAAAAATTTGCGAACCATCACCCGTAAAGTGCAATGCAATAAGCTGTGTGTACAAATAGCTAAAATCCACATGAAAAAATGAAAGCAGAACAGACTGAGATTCGTGGAACATCATCCCAGCATTTTATTTATTTTCCTTGGTCCTTACGAATAATAAACACTTACAAACAGGAGCTGGGTGCGGAGACATTCCGCCGCACAATCAAAGACAGACGAAAAAAAAACAATTCTAATCGAGAGAAAAAAAAAAACGAGAATGAAAAGAAAATTCGATCGGAACGTGGTAAAACTATTTTCTTTCGAAAATTGAGCCGATTCGATTATCGGCTCAATAAAAAACCCCCTGCGGACGTAAAATCCACGCCTAAACCTTGCTTTTCCATTCGCGCCCAAAAAATTGCTGAGATTCTCGCGCCGCACTCACCGAAATTAAAAACAAAAAAACCCATGCCAGCAGAGGAATGCAAATGCTCCGATGCAAATCAAACTTCTTCTTCTTCACGACGAAATAAATAAAAGTTACCTTTCGCAAAAAAAAACAAGAAGCAGCACATGACCGTAAGCATCTTAGCGACAAATTTTTGCAAGGAGGGGGGGGGGGGGGGGAGTTTGCAACCGGACCTCCAATAAATATTTTTTTTTGCAAAAAACTTTTTTTTTTCCAAGCCACAAAAGGCCGAAGAACGAAACAGCTATAGGCGAGCAGACTTCTGTTTTTTTCTTCTTCTTAAAACTCCTTTTTTTCTGAAATCGGTAGAACGTTTTTTTCTTTCTCCCTCGCGGTTTTTTTTTCCCTTCATAACCGTTTTTCTTGAAAGAAATAAAGCAACAAACGAGTTTTCAATCGACCGGAAAAATTCGCGCATTCTGAACCGAGGAGCCCTTTTTTCAGGCACCTTTTCAGAGATGTCGCACTTTCGCTCCCAGCAACATTCAAACCGAAAAAAAAACACATCGACGAACATTTCGGCTTTCCTTCGCACATCGACATAAAAAGAGTATTTACTTGTTCTTTTCTTTTCTCAAAAACAAAGAGAGCGTCTGACTAGAGACCTCCTCCAGATTGAGTCGCGAAAAAAGAGGCGGGGGAAAAATGCAGATAAATAGCAACATCTAGAATTCTTCGCCAGGCAAAAAAGCATCGCCCTAAACAACAGTATCAAAAAATCTGTACAAATTCTCATATCCTAAATTTCGCTGCGGAAAGAAGGAGAAATGATTTTTGTTCCGTGCTCTATGTCCAACAGTAAGTAAAGCCGCACTGGGGAAAACATACAAAGAAAAACAAACAGAAATTAGCCGATCCGGAATGTTTGATTATATCCTGTAATATGCCGGGGCTGTTTTGCCTACATACCTAAATTTTCTTCTTTCGAAAACGTTCACTCAACTCAACCCCCGAATCATTCAATCCAACACCCAGCAAGGGAAAATATCCAGAGTCCGTCAAATGCTCGTTATTATGATCTCATCAAAATCATCGTGGAAAACATTGCACATGAGGTAGACCGTCTTCATATTCCGCAAATCAGCCAAACGCATTCACATACAAACAAAACTCCCTATACCGCGTCTCTTCTTACTTTTTTTCCCTTCCTCATTCAACTTTTGGATTTCATATTGCATTCGTGTAACACGACGAAATTGAGTCTTGAATAATAAGCACTTGACAGAATCGGAAATTTGTTTTTTTCCTCATTAACTGGTGTGACCCAAGCTCACAAAGAAAAAAAAAACGTCAAGGAAAGGAAAAACTTTTTAACAGGGACACGTTTCTCTTCTCATCGCACCCGACCGGAACTTTCATGCGTTTTCATTTGACTAGCAAAAATATTCGTGAGACGATGATAAGAAACAGTGAAGCGACAACGAACAAAAAAAACAGAACTGAAATTTTGTTTTGTCTCTCTCTCTCACGAAATCAATAATGATGCTCGTCAGCGATTGCACTCGACAGAACCTTTTCGTTTTGCCATTTTTTTTCTTCCTCCATCGCCTTCAAGCAAGCGTTTCACCTTTTTCTTGCCCTTGTATAAAGAGTTGCCACACTAAAAACAACTCTTTTTTGTTTTGTTCGACAGTCATTAGATGAAGCGATAGAGCTTAAAAGATGCGAATGTGGACTCTTCAGTGCGATTTGTCAATTTTTTTTTCTCTTCAAAAAGAAACTTCGGATATTGTTTTGTTGCTGCTTTGTACTCCGCTCAGATTGTTCGTACACTATATATATAGCTCGAACAACGGCAGGAATGGGTACGAACATTCGCAAAAAAAAATTTTCAACTAATACATAGATCATCAAGACTATCCGTGGTGCTGCTGCAAGAAAGACAACACACACAGGATTTCTTCACGACTTTTTCCTCAAGAAAAATTAAAATTAAACACGAGATAACATTTCCTTCCTTATGCAGCAGCGAAAAAGATGAAAAAAAGGAAATTTTGGAGCGTCTTCATCAAAGGAAAACAGCAGGTTTAGACTCCCTATATATATGAAATAATCCACTCGCGTATTCGAGTTTCATGCGAGAGAGCAAAATGGCAGCGCGGACATTTTGGAAGAGCAGACTCCTCCCCCAGCAGACACAACAACAAAAAACAAAACAAACAAAGAAAACTAAGCTTGTCTCATCTCAGTCAACATTCGCACTGAACACTTAGCCAGGGCACTTTGCAAAAACAAAAATTTCAAAATCAGAAAAAAACTCTCCCACTCGCATAAAAAATTTGTGTTGGAAATCAGCTATAATAAGGCCTGAAAAAAAAGCGCAGGAAAGCTTATTCTTTCCCTTTAGAATCGCAGCGATGTGCTGGTATTATGCTTATTTTTGAGGTTAGAAAACCAGAACTTTGGATCGGATACGATTGCGGAAAATCCCTGAGCGAGCGGAAAAAAAGCTTTTTTTTCTTTGCAGTGTCATAAAAAACAAATTGCAAACTAAACTTATTACAAATCAATAAATCGGGACTCAAATTTGTGGGGATTGTTGATACGAGATTCTGCAGTTGCCTCTTGATGGACAATTCGTTCTTCTGCTTACTTCCAAAACAACTGATTTTGACTCTGCAAGTCACGATGATGAGCTTCTTCTGTAATTCTTCAGAGCTCAAGACGACGGCAATTTCACCAATTAAGCAACAGGGGATTGAAATTTTTGGAAATTGCCAACGCTATCCAAGATGAGGGAGACCCCACTTGGATTTTAACTTTTTCTCTCGTTTCAATTAATTAACTATAATTAATTGTTTCTTGCTTTTTTTGCACTTGACGGCGACGACGCTGTCGTCGGAAAAAAAGAAACACTCGCACACAAACACACACGAAACAATCGGTCCTCATTAGAGATAGCGAATATTTTCGGTTTCGCGACGATGAGGAACACAGGAGTATACAGGATGCGACATCTACACCGAAGAAGAAGAAGATGATGGACCGATTGCAGGTGTGGGATAGTTCAAAATAACACAAAATAAAGTGGGTGGAATTGGTTTATAGCGAAAGGAGTTTCGCAGCCAGGAAGGAGAGCAGGGTGAAGGAGAGGAAGCCGGAAGTGGCGCCGACCGGAACTGCAGCTGTGTTCACTTGGACATCCTTGTCCTTCATCAGCACGTCCCGGATCACGTGGATGTACCCGTTGGTACATTCGATATCCCCTCGCTCCACTTCCGCCACAATGCCGTCCCATTCCACCAGGTATCCTGTAAAAAAAAGATATTAAATCGATGATAAAATGAATAAAATGAGTTTCGATTAAATAAGATTTACTGCTTGTAGGGCAAGCACAGTCAAACCGCTTTGAGTTGAGCTCATTGGGGCCAACAAAAAATAGGTTTCTGTAGGGAGTTTTTGAAGTGGGGAAAACCAGCATTTTTTGCAAGAGAAAAAAGTGAAGAACCACAGGAGGGTAAAATTGGCATGTATATCAGTATATGTATATTTTTATGGAGCTGCACTGTTCTCATACAGAGCTGCGCCATTCCTCAGTCCCAGTCCTGAAAAATTTTCCCCAACACATTCACCTATTCTGAAAATCACCGGTATCCAACCATCCATGAAAAATGGCTGATTTACGTGTGTTTTGTGCCTGTGTCTCTTACACCTGGCAGGAAAACAACTGATGAAAAATCAGCTGTTTTTGAAAAAACCACCCATATCCACCCACCCATGAAATACGTGTGATTTGTGCCTGTGTCTGTACGCCTGGCTGGAAAACGGCTGATTATTTGCTGGGGCTAAAGTGGAATATCTATAAGAAATTAGAAAGCTGGACTTCAAGAAAGGTTCCTCAACATGAAAACTTGCCATAATCAATTTCAGCAGCTGCAAATTTGTCTGAAGTGCCATTAAGAGAAAAGTCAACTTTTGTTTTTCATCACATACTTTCAACTGCCATGGTCTTTCCAAAATTTACGATGCGGATAACAGAATTCATGTTACACCTTTTGATAAATTTAATGTGCAAAAGAAAATTTCCTGAAGACCAGCAAGAAACTGTGATGGACCATGAGGAAAAGTAGCGTTTGAATTTATACATTAATCAAACCTTTCAATTGTATACAGTACTTCAAAAGTTTTCTGGCATATACTTTATCAAAAATTTCCCATTCCAATTGAGTATGATGCACAATGGAGCTTTTCAACCTTTCAAACAATTGTACACCCTCCCACAATGCTCACACCCTCATTTATTCCTTTCAATTTTGAGAAAAAAGGTGCCCAAGGTACTTGAATAATTACAGTACACTATACAGTGCCAATAAAAGGATTCCAACTGCCTCCATATACAATACAGTGAGACCCCCACATGCGGACACCTTGACCTGCAGACAATTCAACATAGGGACACTTTTTCCCAGAAAAAAATGATAAAAAAGGCCCAACATGGGGACACTGACTCAACATAGGGACATTTTGTGACAAATTTCCAAATAAATTTCAAGCCAAATTACAAGAAACAGATATTTCCAACCCTAAAATTGATGTATGAAAAGTTATTGGGCATCTCTCTCACCAATTGACCAGCCATTTAGCTAATTTTAGAAAATTACCTCCAGCATAGAGGGACTTCTACATTTTTTTCACTCAAATTTTATGGTTGTAGATGCCAACATTTCACTTTACAGTAACAGATATACACTATTCAATGCTCCAAATATTCTTATTGAGTTGAAAATGTATTCACTAATTCAAATTCAAGTGGCAAACAATTTTGTCAGGAAATTCTGAAGAATATTTCTTCCATAAAACACCAATTAAAAATTATGTAATGCAAATCTATGGGAAAACATGACTCGACTTAGGGACAATTCAACTTGGGGACACTCTTGATGCACCAATTATGTCCGCATCTGGGGGTCTCACTTTCAAAATGCATCCTGACAATGCAACATCATTTACTCTATCAACGGCATTCATTCAAATAATAATGAAAACTCACTAGTGCCACTCTCTGGCTTTCCCTTATTGTTGGCCTGAGGCGCCACTTTGTTCCTGTTCTTCGCACCGTTGTCCTTGGTGACCTGAATGGTTCCTCCGCGCGCCATCTGCACCTTGCCCTGCTTGACCATCTCCTCGAGCTCCATTGCCTCGTTCGCCATTAGGTGTCGCTCCAAGATCATTTTCGTGTTCCCAGGAAACGCGCCCATCATGATTTTCTTCATGGCGGACGGATTCTTGCTCTGCTGCTTCTCCCAGGCCTCGTTGGAAGGAACGAAGAAGGTGAACTTTTTCTTGTCATCTTCCATTTGCTCGTTGAAGTTTCGCTGCGTGCCCAAGTCGTAGGTGATTCTATTGTGAAATACGGGGGGGAGAGAAAAAGTTTCAGCATGACAGAGAAACGCACACGCGGTTCATCAAGGCTTAGAAGTGAACTTCATTCATTCCAGCATAATTCAGAATGCAGCCAATTTATTCATCTTCATATCTCACTTTCTGCACCAGGGCTACACGTGTGGAAAAGTCGAGATTTGTTATGCTAGTGTCAGTTGCACATGTTGAACTGCAGAAGTTCACCAGGATTATACAAATTGTTACTTCTGTCGCGAATCATGGTTCATGAGCTGTATAGAATACTACTAAATTTTGATTCCAAGTTTATCAACAGCTAAAGCACCATATGTCAACTTTCAATTGTAAAAAAAGATGAAAAAATGCAGCGTGTCCAGAACATTTGGATGCTGCAAAATGTGACCAATTCAACTCGTGGATGCTTTGAGAACTTTTTAGATGGTCTTGTATAGACTTCTCTACCTATGAAAGGGTTCTAAAGTTCTTCTTGCTTTTTAATATAATAATAAAACTATGAAAATTCTTTTAACTTGATATATATCGGCATAGGTGTTTAGAATAAAAAGTAATCCTACTCTAACTATAATTTATATTACGAAATTTTTCAAAACTGACTAATTAAATCGAATTTTCTCTTCTCTGGTCCCTTCAACTTCGACGCCAAGAAGCTCGACTGTAACTACTGTATATAGAAAAAAAAAGAAATGAGAAAAGAAAGAAATAAATTACTTCATCATGGGATCCGTGGAGAGTTTCTTGAAGACGTTCTGGTACGGGATCCCCAGCACGTGGTCGATGACGTACAGGATCCCGTTGCTGGCCGCCAAATCCGGCGACACTATCGACGCGTTCACTCCGGCCGCGTCGACGGACAACGTCACGTTGTCAGGCGGCCCGAAAGCGTGGAACCACACTGACACATCCGGGCTGGCACTTCTCACCTGCAACATTCGGTTCTGCAGATCGCCAGCACCACGACATCCCCGTTTGCCAATTTTTTTTTTTTGCGTTAACCGCCCCCACGTGTTAATCCAAAGTTTTTTGTTTTTTTTTACATCCGTGAAACCACCGTGACCATAAATAAATTACCAAAAGAGACAGAGATAAATACCGAGAAACAGGGTGGATTACAAAGTGAGCATTGAAAAATATAAAAACGGGGGAGGGGGGAGAATTTTCCAAGGTTTCCACGAAGAATAACACAGTGACAACAACCATCGATCGGAATAAGTACATGATGCCAATAATAAGTTGCCGACCACCAACAAATACGTGAAAAATAAATTTTGTTTTTTTTCGTTTCGTTTTCGCACAGAAATGAGTTCAGGTCGTTCCCTTCCTAAAATAGTATGTGGTCAGGGTTATTATCTTCTTTCAGTGCCAGTTCTTGGGGTAGGGTAGCTCTTGTAAAATGTCTTGCAGCTCCCGCTCTAAAACTCTTTTACAGCACCAAAAAAAGTTTTTTTTTTCGTCGGTGAGAAGAAAGAGGAAAGAAGGAACGGAAATTCGGGAGGGAACCAGGGCGGAAGATAGTGAGGAGAAAGAAGAAAGGATAGAAAAAGAATACAGTTTTGGTTAGTACAATTTACCACCAAAAGAAATTCCAATTCAATTTTTCAAAAAGCCTTTGTTAGTTCCTTTTATGTTATTTGTTTAACCATACAGAAGAGCAAAACAAAAAACAGAAACACTTTCAGATCTTTTGACCTGGATTAATCACTCAAAAATACAGTATAAGGCAATTTAGTTCTGTTAGAAAAATTTCTAAGAAAATATATTTTTTCCTAGAGAGAATAAATAAATCAGCCTTTAGGCTATCAAGCCTATTTCAGGCACAAGCGAAATCAGCAAGAAGTAGGAAAAGGAAACTGCCAGTAAGAGAGCGAAGTATTTAATAATCCAAGCATCTTTTTTTCCGCAAGCCCAATTCGTCCAGAAATTGCAATAAAAGCAAAAAAAGAAACCGAATTATACAACTACAAGAGACGAAAAATACGTCGTTCTTCAACTACATCTACATGCACTAAGGAACAAAAGTAAGACTACAAAAATACCAAATGTACCCTTTTCAAAAAAAAAAATGTCAGTCTAATGGTGTTTGGGTGGGACATTTATCCGGACAACTTTCAAATTCGAAATCAGCTACAGTATTTCAGACAAAATTTTCTACAGCACATAGAAAGCACTTCAATTCAACTTGGAAAAACACAACCAAGAATTTGAAGAATTCTGCGCTGGATTAAAAAAAAAATTAGTAGTTCAAATAATTCTGTGAAAAATATCAGGAATTCCATCCTACAAGTATTGAAATTCATCCTCAAAAAGCAAACATAATACTTCACACAGAGAAATTATGCGTTAACGAATTCAGACAATCTTCAAAACAGAGAATACAGTTGAATTCAACTCAGAAAATAATATAAATTATTTCATAGGACTTTCATCCCACAATTTTGCGCCAAAAAGCAAAAATGAGATTCGAAAGGCAACTCATTTTGTAATTCGAAGTCCAAGGGTTTGAAATTCAGGGTCACCAACACCCAGCAAACTTTGTTGACCATAGCCCAAGAAAATACTTGTTTTTCCTTGCTGGTCAGGCAGACATCAACTCACCTCTATAGACAGACGTTCCTCGTTTTCGTCGATAATCTCGTCATCCTACGTACACACACACAT